AGGTAACATCTGCAATATTTTGTATGATAACTGACCTAACCCTCAATTAAAAATGTTTGTGTGCGATGTTGGAGGCGTTCGTAATATCAACGTAGGTATACTTACACTGTATATTTGTACAGTATTTCCAATATTATGATGTATAGTTTACWYCTATAGTCTTTTGTGTACTAATCCAATATAAACTCGAAAACTCTAACGGACGTAATAACGCTTTTCTTCATGTACGACACTGTTACTTATATATTCATATATAATATATTCTACATGTATATAKATATATTTGTTTGTTCTCTGGCTTCGTAAAACACATATAGGTAGGTACATAATACAATAATACAATAATATTATTACTATTATTATTATTTATATAGGCGTGACGAGGGGCGAGGGTGGTGAGTGTGTACATAATACATTACACGTCATATTGTCTCCTGTATACATATACCAGATACCTCATCATATTGTATACCATACCTATATAGTATATATATAGTATTATACGCATATAATAAACGRCCGTCCCTTGCTGCATATGTGCGATGGGGCTTTTATTTTTTACTGTCGTTTTGTTTTTCATCCCCTCTCCAGATGAGCTCCAAGAAAACATACAAAATACTTAAAATGCATATACATATGTATATGTACACACCCGGTACCTATATAGTACACGTACATACCTATATATATATATAAATATTAGTGTATAATAATATACTTATATATGCAATACGTGACTACCTACTACATACTTATATCACATATAATATTATGAGACATTGGTACCTATATACCAGCACTTTATGGTCTTTACGTCCTTACCACAGTTACCAGCTCTATGTTATATAATATAATAGGTAATAGATATAAGCTTAGAATTTACGTTTGGATGATGTGCTGCAGGAGACACGAAGAAAACAGTGAAGCAATCAAAAAAAAAAATAAAAGCTGTTGTTGGCCCAGTTGTCATGGTATATACATAATACATGTATAAAATAAAAGCAATGATAATAATATTTTTGTCTGCGTCCGGTCGGAAGAATACGAGGAAACGAAAAAGTAAAAAAAAATTCGTACGGTACCTACCTCATCTATTATTTATATACACCTTATAATACCTGTATATATCTATATACATATTATATGTATATATATATATACATTTTAGATCCGGATCCTTTGAGCCCGCGCAGGGCGTGGTAAACCGCGCGGACCGAGACCACGCCCAACCGACCAATCGGTGAAGCCCTTCGACCACTCAAACCCGCCCATCGGACAGTACGCGCGCAGAATCCATGGCCCGCGTCCGCCACACGGCAAGCCGGTCATCTACGGCGCCCGTCAGTTTGGATCGCTCCGCAGCGAACGGCCCACACACACACCGGTGGCGGCAGTGCGCGCTCCTTCGTGTACATTTTTAGACGTATATTAGATATAGAACTGTAAGAAAATCGTACAATTCGTAATATTGTATATATTTTATTGTTATACGATTTACGAATTTTTTATTGTAATATCGTAATATTGTAACGGTGTTCGTCGTACCGACGTAGTGCAGTGTCAGCGACGGCGGCGTGACAAGTTTACTTACTCACAATAGGTATATGATAACAGACGACGTCGGAAGTTTTTTCACTCGGATAATAATATACGTTATATAGACACGCGTACTGGGTTTTTCCGGTTCTTTTATCTTAAATCTTATATTCCATCTTAATTTTATGGAAATAATGTTTCAAAAAAGCTTTTGAAGGCAGGGTCGGAAAGACGCGGCGCACTCTCAGCTGCAGCGATCGTCCGACGTCGCAGATTTTCTTGGTATTAAACCTCACGCTTCATAATACATATCGTATAGGTATTATATTTTATACTGTCCGTTTGCGTCGAATACACGTACAGCCCGTGCGCAGATATGATCCAGGAAAACCGTTTCGAGTTGTGTGGTTTTCCGACTACGTACATCAAGAACGTGAAGGTAATTTTTTTGCATTTTTTTCTTTCTTTTGCGTGAGAGTGAGTATATATGTTATAGGCATATCGCGCTATTAAATAATGCGTTGAAAATGTATGTAATATTAAATACAACAGGCTACAAAGMTACATAATATTATATACAATATGCATATTACCGTTATACGTATGAAATATTGAAATATGAATATAATATATAATAATTCTCTATATCGTTCCCTAATCTCAAAATATAGATGTATTAGGATTAGCGAGACCCGGGACAAATATTTGTAAAGCTCATTGAACTTTATAATTGTGTATATTATGTTATTGTTATTACTTAATAATTATTATGATACAATTATAATACCAGCAACTATATGCTTATTAGATAATATATGTATAATATGTTTCTTTTTCTCAACCTCCTTTTAAAACTTCAGCTCCATTGATCATCAGACATAGGTAAAGTATAAGTAAATATTGAAAATATTGAAAACKATTGTAATATACATATATTATATAAAATATACAGGGTGATTCTTTTTAGTGGGTACACCAATTATCTCGAAAAGTATTTACTTTTTTCAAAATATTTTT